TGATTAGAACCATTTTTTAAGCTCGAATCAATTAGATCTATAAATACTTAGAAATCTTGAAAATGGATAGTCCGGATAATGTTTTGTAAGATATATTCTAAGATTGCAATTTCATATAAACTTTTTCCTTATATATAGATTTTATAATTAGAGATAGAAATAGATTCTCAAGCCATCCTAAATAATTTTTACACAAAAATAATATTTATTATAGAATTTAGAGGTGTGCCTTAAATTGATCGTTTAAGGTTGCAACCTTATACAATCTACGCCCAATACTTATACTCTTTGGAACCAAACAAATATGGAAAAAAGGGTGAAAGTTACTGGTATTATGGAATAACGGATAGCCCACAATGTTGAAGGGCTAAAAGATATTCTACGCCTTTGGGAGTATACTGTCTATTTACTCCCAAGGATAACACCCCACCTAGGATTAGTTTTAGGACATCAATTTTTGGAGATATAAATTATATAAAGCATTAATTATTTTTGAATAATTATAAATACCACTAGTTTTTTATAAAAATATGCATTCTATCCCTCCTAATGACAAAAAATACACTTGCTTGAAAAATTGTGTCAAAACATGTTGAATACATTAAATATATACTCCATATGTAGGAGAAGCCTAACTAAACCTGTTAAACTCTATTTTTGCGATGGATTTTTTTACTTAATTGTTAATGACATATAATCTCTAACATGGATATCATGAATATGAATAAATAAATAAAATTCAAAAATTAAAAATGATAATTCTATTATAAAAATATTTGGACTGTTAGTCTCAATTGTTTTTAGATGGACCACCTATATGCATCTATCTTTAAGATAAAAGCAATCCTTGCCACATAAAACAATTTTCCCTTATTATTCAACTATTATAGCTCATGAATAATACTTCCGACGGGATTTTTTAAATTAAATTAAAAGAGTTTAGTAAAATGTTATATAGTCTAGATGTATATTTATAAATTTTCCTTTTTCTTTTTTTAATATCCAATGGACTCTAAAATTGGATAGACATATCTGACCTATGCACCAATAAAGATTGGTCAATATGTGTCCACAATGTACGGTGAGCACTAGCTGTCTAGATCACCTCTATCAAGTAATCTTGGCCGTTGGGTCTATATTGTTTCACAGGATAGGCCGTCCAACAAATTTTTAACCATAAAAAAAATCCAGTTATGGAATGGGGAGAATAGGAAAACATAAGCATTGATGTATGCTGCGCCTGATATTGGTTGGTTGGGAATCACCGCCACCATTGTCCATTTGTAAATGGATGGTGATGGCCCTTTGGCTACTGTACAAATGGTGCATTGGGGGCTTATCCATGTAAAATATCGAAGTTTGTAAAGAGAAGAGATAAAGTTTGCTGGCGTTTGTAGATATCAATGGCAGGGAGAGAAATTCTTTTTGCTCACTTGTCAAAGAGAAGAAATAAAACTACGACGTTTACACTTTTCCTTTTTAGCTTTTTGTGATCAATATGGACGGCCTTGATTTGACAATAGGCTTCTACCACTTTTGATGATCCCTTTGGTTGATATTTAATTGTCCTCTTTGTTTTTTTGTGGGTGTGATTTGTATAAGGTTGTAATTTTAAATAATAAAATAAAACACATATCAAAATTTTATCATAAATATAAATTTTGTGTAAAAATTTAATAAGATAACTTAATAATCTATTTTCATCTTTAATTATAAAAATCTTAAAGTGTAAAATGGTTCAAATCAATTAGATCTATAAATACTTAGAAAATCTTAAAAGTGAATGGTTTATATAATAGATTGCAAGATACATTATTTTTAAGACTCAAAATCTGTTTTTTTTTATATATCCATACTACGTCGAGATAATCGGTTAGAAAGTTTTTCACCAACAAAACGACTTTCTATGATGGATTTTTAAGTTGCACTTTAATGCTATATTTTAAGGTTGCAACTTTATAAAAACGTCTTTTTTTTATTGTTGAATGAAAACTTCAAGTAGAACT